CAGGCGCTGAAGGTCCAGAAGGGCCCCCTGGACCACCCGGTGAACCAGGAGCAGATGCACCAAATGAACCACTTAAACCAGGAGAGCCTGGACCTCAGGGTGAGCATTTCTTTTCATGCTGTCATTTTTAAAAAAACTCGTGATTTTTAGTTTTTCCATATTTATGCATACATTACCTAAGCTAGAAGTACTAATTCTCTTTTACAGAGCAATATTCACTAATTTTATCAGCAATTAAAGTAATAATTATAATTTATTCGAACTCATTTTGATAAGAGTTTTCTTTCATGTAATAAATAGTTATAAGTCAGTTAGTTATAAGTGAATTCAATATCAAAAAGCCAGAGCACTCATATTTTTAGATAAGCCAAGATGCAATTCATTACATATTTATTATATAGTTCCTGACTAAGCACAAACTTTTCTAGGTGAGCCAGGACCTGTAGGAGCACCAGGACCAGCAGGAGAACCAGGTCATGAGGGACCACAAGGACTTCCAGGACCTAAAGGAAAGCCTGGTGCTGATGGCAAACCAGGCAGAGATGGAAGTCCAGGTCCTCGAGGTCCACCTGGTCAACCTGGCCCACCTGGTGAAAAAGGTATCTGTCCAAAATACTGTGCTATTGATGGCGGTATTTTCTTTGAAGATGGTACACGTCGTTAATTTCTGTCGTTTATATTTATGTAAATATAATTTTTGATAAAATGATCGATACTTATTCGTATTACTACATGGTATTTTGAGCAAATTAATTTTGCACCATCAATGCATTCTAATCATAAATAAAGTCCCCACAAAAATATTTAATATCTTTTTTTTATTATTGAGAATTTCAAAAAGTGTAAAGGCGTTCTTTAAAAAATACGCATTATAGGGTATTTGAGTTATTCGAAATACATACGTATACAAATGAAATTGAAAAATAGAACAAAATATAACGCATTATGTTTTGTTAGTAATATAGATTATTGGTGAATTTTGAGAGATTAGCAAAAATATTAACTCCATAAAATTTGCTTTTTTACTGCAAGGTTTTTGTATTATTATTACGAAAAATAGAACAGCAAAAGTGGTATGTGTTAAAATTAAGCTAATAATTAACAATACATATGATGAGAGATGAAAATACAATTACATCATGCAGCTTGCAACATTTACGGTACTAAATCGTTCTTCATAACAAGAAATATACTTTGTTGCAATTTCAAAAACAAAAATTGAAAATTTATAAAGATGACAAAATATTTTTGCAAGACGTAGAAAATCTGAAATTCAATATATTATAAGTTATTAAACTATTACAGCGAATGTACTTTGGCGTCTCTTAGCAAATGAGTAAAAAAATTTTAGTTCATAACTTGAAGGAAATTTTTATTAATTGATAACAAGAATTTAATAAGGTTTCAGCCAGCATTAAACTTCATGATATTCTTATCAGAATATCATTAATGGAGTTTTGTTGTAGAAGAATTGAAAGTCAGATGTAAACGTTTCAAATATAGTAAAGAAAAAATTTGATTTTCTAGCATTAAAGTTATCTTTTGAAACAGATAATACCTTCAAAAATATAATCATAATAATTTTAATTTGTTAATATGTTACATCCTGTCCTCCATAAAGTTGCAATTTTTCTATTCAGTAATAAATAGTGTGATAAACCTTACGCATTTTCTGATCACTCATCAAATTTATGAAGAATTAGGGAAAATTAAAGAGATGGTTGATGAATTGTGATAGTTTTTAGAATTTAGTAACTTGTTTATAGCGTATTTGTCTCTTTCTTCTTCTCATAAATTATCACGTATTGCAATTTGATTTCAATAACATTTCTATATCGTATTAATGACATTTTTACTTCTTTCGGTTATTTGATAATGAATAGTTTAATTTATATGGACTCTTGAATATATTCTGTTCTTATTTCAATTAATTTATTATGTGTAATCTTGAAGTAAAGCTTAAGAATTAAGGTTTTTATTTTATTTTTATACAAAACATGGAGAATAAACTTTAATTAATTTCTGTCGGCAATTATAAATAAACTAATTTTTTAATTTGTAAAATTGTTTCCTAAAATATTTTTCTAGATAAGCAAACATTAATAATAACAGCAATAATAGTAATAAAGACTTATTTTAGTGCTTCAATCATTTTCCTATTTAATAAACGATAAAATTTTCTCATAAGTAACACTTAGTTGCGTTAAAACTGCAGTAAAAATCTGACAATGATATTAATTCAAGAAATTTACCGTAAATTTTATTCCGCATACTTAATGCTCGATATTTAAAATCCTTCCGTCCATCCAACTATACTAGACTGCATTTTAAAATTTGGTATTTTAATAAAATTTATATTTCAGTTCTAAATTATTGCTATGCATCAATGGCATTTCCTCATTTTACTGTACATAGAAGCTAAAGCCCAAACTACGGTATTTTATGATTTACTGTTAATTTGTAGAGAACTTAAATAATAGCTTTTAATGATTTGTTGATAAAGAAATAAAATTTTTAACTTAAATCTAATAAGTTGTAGTATTCATTATCGAAAATGCAACCCCCCTTGTAATATGTTTTATTAAATTGTTGCATACTTTATTCTACTTCAGTTAACTATCATATTAATATTCGTACACTTACAATTACCTCAAAATCACACTACATGTTTACTAATAGATTTTCGACTTTTTTTAAAAATAAAACAAATAACTTAAAGTCCACACATTTTTTTCATTTTATTTAAATTAAATTTGTTATAAATGATACTAAAAGACTAAATTTTTATTTAATGCAAACAAAAAACAAACTTTTTATTTAATTTTTGTACAAAATATAATGATATATTTTGCAATTAAAGACTTTTAGGAAAAGGCAAAACAACAAAATAATGTTATGAATACAACAACTACTCCTTTACTAATGAAATTTTTTGGGTAAGCGTTTAAAGCAATCATAATTATGTTCAGTAATTACTGTAATGTAGTACTGCTAGCTTGAAAGCTTACTTATTTTTAGGGCAGTACCAATTCAGTCATCAAATGATGATGTTAATGCATATTGCCGAAATGGAGGAATTATGGCTGGACATCACTGCATTTGTCCATATCCATACACTGGTAAACGATGCTTGGATTTTGCTTGCGGTATCTCTTAATATCAAAATAATTATTTTATATTTATGAAGACTGATTGCATCAAACAAATATGTATTATCAATACAATGTGATCAATCATAGTTGATTTTTTTGCGATCTAATAACAGCTCATTTCACTACAGCTCATGGTATATCAGTAGGAATACGGTATGATCCTGATAGCTTATTTTTTAATAAACCTTGCATTTGTGATGAAGATTGGAGTGGCGATTTGTGCGATATATCAAGAGCAAATCAAGTAAAAGTTTTTTCACAATTTTTTGAGCACAAAATTTACTTTACTCAATTATTATTTAATACATCAGTCATACTTTTAATTCAGTTGAAGTTTTTTATCATAAATGATATATGAAAACATCATAGCGAGAAAATTGTGACACTATGTTGTCACAAAATTTAAATATTCATAGAAATTTAAAATGTTTAGCATACTTCATCCATCAAAATTTCTACGTAATTTTTTGAACAACGAAAGAATTGATGATTTGAAATCAATCTTTATCGTATTTTAATATATGAACTTTTCCTGTTAAATGCAGTAATAATTCTTGAAGTTGTAATTATTTCGTCTTATTAGCAATGAAAATGTAAAATAAATAAAAATTAATGCAGTAAACAATTATTTGATTTTCTTCTTGCTAACAAAACTCAAATTTTAATTAAAATTCGGCAATTCTATCTCACCATTATTTAGACATTATTTACTTCTTGTCTGCTTCGTTTTTCGGTTATTACTAATATTATCAAAATGCTACATTTTTTGCGCATCAACGTTAAATACTAATAATTAATCACGTTTCGCTTGTAATCAAATCATCGTGACATTTTCTTACATATATTAAGATTAGATTTAAGTTTCATGATATAGAAAATACATGTACATTTTATAACCTTAAGGCTTTTAATTAAAAATATACTTTTAACCATAATCCACAAAAAATTAAGAAAATAATTTGAATAAGACTATCATTTTTATTATGAATCAATCGTAAGGAAAGTTTAAAGACTTGGTTATTTTAGTGCAACGATCGTGGTGAACTCAGAAACGGTCAGTGTTATTGTATCGAGCACTTTTTTGGCCCACAATGTCAATATGTTAGTCGTTGTGACCATGGAAAGCGAAAACATGGAAGGTCCTTCATTAAACTACTTTTTATTAAAATTCATATATATTTTGCAGCTTTGAAACTAACTTATATCATTTCAAAAAGACAACTTAAACATTATTTACAATTGCAGATGTATATGTGATACAGGATGGAAAGGTGATTACTGTCAAGATATTGTTTGCCAACATGGTTATCCAGGTAATAATAACGTGTTTGCAAACATAGCAAAATGTTCGCATACATAAAGAGTTTCATACTTCTCAAAAAATGAAAACTTCTAATTTCGGAAAAAAAAGAAAGAAAAAACAGAAACGTTTGTTTACATAAATCAGAACAGAAAAACTATATGATGAAAAATGTATTTAACAAAATTATACTAGCTGCTTTTCTGTAAAAGCTGATAAAAGTTAGATGCCGAAAACAAAAGCGGATCATGTGTTTGTCCTGCTCGATTCACTGGAACTCATTGCGACCGTTGTTCTCAGAAAGGGCCTAAAATTAGGCCCTATCCAGAATGTAATATTGATATACTTAAAAGTAAAGCTCGACTACAACGTCAAGAAGCAGAAACACAGGTATCATTCCTCAACTCTAGACATTTTGGAATGAAATGACTGCCTACAGTGTCCATACTAATGTTCTACAATTTTCAATTTTGGTAACAATATATGTTAAAATATTATTTAAAGTTTCGATTACGACTAATAATTATGGGAGTTGCGATCTGTTTACTATTGTTCCTGGCACTTATTATGATATTTGTAAATCGACGCAGAATTCATAAAAGAAAACATTCCGTGACCGAGAATATTCGACAACGTGAATTCGAAATCCGGAAAGCGATTCTTGAAAGAGCAGCTCTATCGACAGAGAATTTAGTTGCACAACGGTAGATGTCAATTCAAAAGTCAACAGAAACCTTAATTCTTCTGATTTCATAACTTTGCTTAATTACATGTTTCTTTCTTTCACTAGCTATATTTTTTTAGGATGGAAAAGTTAGAAGGAGAGCACGCAGATCAGAAAGAAGCACCGCTTGAGTCATAATATCCAAAACAATTTTTGCAAGATCTCCAAATTCCCATGCAAACAGTCGTTAATTGCATGGGGCCTACACTGATAAGATTTTTTACCAATAGTGATTTGCACAATTTTGGTAAGTCCTCTACTCCTGTATTAGCACTGTGTGATATTTTTTATATAAATCCTTTTATGCAAAATTAATCCCATACAGTTCAACAACTTCCACTCAGTACAATATTAACGTTAGCCCACAACTAAAATGAAACGGATTCCATAATTTACTGAATATCATGCTTCCACATGAAATAACCGCTCCTTTAAAGTTTGATCAATCTGTGCCCATGGTAATGATTTAATTTTCAATCATCAATAAAAAGTCAAAAAGTCACTTACAATACGTTTCAAATAAAAGATGGCTACTGATATCACCAAAAAATCCACAACATGATGTATTGACCATGTGAAAAACTACTTCAGTTTCCTAAAACATTTAGTATTAAAGTAAATTTGCATACAGGTTTGAACATGGCATGAGACCAGGACTTTATAATTCACAATAAAAAAATCTTCATTATGAACTAACATACTAACAAGACATGAAAATTATCATCTGAATGGATGTTCAAACTGCCGAAAAATGAGCGTAATGAATATGAAAACAATTAATTTGGACTTACAAGGCATAATTTAAATCAAACCTTTTTTAAATACAGCACCATTATAGTAACAAAACAAAAGAAAGCGAGAATCATCAAAGAATGGACTATTTTTAAATTCTCAAGATCAAAAAATTAAAATATGTGACATTTTAAAAACAATCGACTTTTAGAAAAAATTTATAAAGTCAAGGTTATTTGCTATAAATTTTTCTTGCTTGCTTCTCAATGGTAATTAACCAAGAATGCTTGATACATATAATCCGACAACTTCAAGTGCATGAGCAATGCTACTCGGATCTTGTACGCTATAGGTCTTGTAGAAATCCATAGTCATCAAAACTTTATATTTAGGCCGTTCTTCTTTGCCTTTGATTAAGCTGAAGATGATATTGCACATAAATAACTGCACCTTAATTTCAGACAGTAAAAATACTAGTAAAGAATTTTGTTCCAAATACTTGAAAAAATAAAAATGTTTGCATCACTAAAATTATTAATTTAACGATGCAATACCAGCTTTTTAATGATATCTTTTCAATTCACTGAATTCGAAATCTAGAAAAACAGCACTTACCAATGATTGACGAATGTAACTAAACATGCAGAATATATTCCAGGTGCCATAACAGGCGGTTCACCATTAACTACTTCTTGCAACTGTTGGAAAGGTGAATCCCATGTTGAAAACGGAAATCGTCCAGTTGATATTTCAAACTGTAAATATGATGAATGAAACACTAGTTCTATTAAGCAGTAAACTCAACAAATCATATAATAATAAAGAAAAAGGCATATATTTGCAACTCACTAAGGTTATCCCCAACGACCAAACATCAGACCGGACATCATATGGTTCATTAGACTGAAGTCGTTCAGGCTACAACACAGAAGGGGTAAAATTAAAAGCAAGCAATTAAACCAATTTTTACAGCTTTAAATGAAGTTTTCACAAGAGCATTGAAATAACAGTTTAGGAACCAGATACAAATGATGCAAAAACAAACCGCCATATATGGCCTGCAACCTGCATCTTGAGTTTTCGCTAAAGAATCAATCAGCTGACCCGCAATACCAAAGTCACACAATTTTATATGCCCACTTCGATCGAGCAAAATGTTAGACGGCTTAACATCTGCAATAAAAACAATTTTGGCGGTTTATTTGAATTTTAATATGGTTAAAAATACGAAAATTCTGAAACATTTTAAAATGAATGGGAGATTTACCCCGGTGAATTATTTGCAAATATTCTTTGAGATAGTTAAGGGCATTCAGTGTCTGAAATGAAGAGCATAAATTATTTTCAAAAATTTTAGATTGCATAAAATGTTAGTACTTTCTTCAATCAATTATAATTCATCGAAATCTACAAGAAAATAAATTTCAACAGTACATCTCAGATGACTTAAACATACTGAAACAGCAATATATCCGATTACATCTTCAGGAATGTATTTGCCCTTCTCATAAACTAATTTGTACAGATTTTCCAAGCAAATATCCATCAGTTCCATACATATCCAACAGTCACCCTTTAAAAATTATGAACTTCAATTTCAATGAACCTCAATGTGTGTTAAAAAAGTAATAAGAAAAAATAAAAATAACAGAACGTTTATCAACCTCAGTAAAAATCGCGCCGTAAAAGCGAACAATATTTTCACACTGACTCGTCATGATTGCTTCTAGTTCAATAAGCAGTCGTTTTTGTTCAGTTGGATTAACAGTACTTGATCGAATTCGCTATAAAACAAAGTCAATGTATCGTGGAATTATTAAAAGCCGAAACTGCATAGAGATTTCAGAATACAATTTAAAAATATAAACAAAAGTGCTCACTTTAACTGCCAAGAGCATGCCAGATTTTAGATGAAGCATTCTGTTAACCATTCCAAAATTTCCACGGCCAATTTCGCCTTTATCAACAAGATCGTTGCAAGTAAAACTATATTCCTCATTATTTGAAAAACGTAACGTACCAGTAGAATGAGTTCGCAAATGAGCTCTAAAGTGAAGAAAAATTATTAAAAATTGTTCTAATTTAATACGTTACAGTTGTGCTTTCGTACTAATATCATCGCTTTTTAAAGATGATGCATATACCTGCACTAAGAAATATAACTGTAAACCACTTGTCAAATTGTAAACCCCTTTGACAACGCAAGTTTCCATCACTTTCAATCAATATGATCATCAATAAGCGCACAAAACAATTTAAAATAAATCGAAACTGCCATTCAGCGTCAAGCTAAACAACTGAGATATAGTCACTTAATTACTAGTGAAATAAAATTATATGATTTTGAATTGTTTCACTTTGTCAATATATGTAAAGCAACTCCTTAGAAATCTTCTCTAAAGTAAAGTAGATTCTTTACTATGCCCAATATGACTGACAATTTTTAAATATCAACTCACAACTGTGGTGATGTTTCAACGTCAGGTAACGGTGGAAAATCGAGCTTAAGATTAGATCGTCCAATACCTAGTGATTTCGGTCGTTGAGACATGACTCTACGGTTTTAATATTTGATCCATATGTCACAATTCAACTGGAAAAACAATAATATCTACAATTAACACCATTATAAAGTATACTTCCGATCACTGTGAGTACAACTATTAAGTAAAAAAGATAAGAATAAGTAGTACTATTTCTTAGATTATACTTTTAAATACAAAAAAATAGATCAGTTATTACAGAAACATTGAAAAACTATCGGATATAAAAAATCTTCAACAGTAAAATATGAATGAGTACGCAATATAAGATGATGAACAATTTCCAACCAGACTTTATCTACCAGCCATAGATGTAATTATCGGGCATTTACAGCTTGGTAAAAGATGGCTCAGGCACTTTTTGCAACATAGTATAATTATGTTGCAATCTTCCTACATTCTCATTGTAGTCTATTTCCGAATTGTGTGACGTTGTGTATTTATCCACTTGTGAGTTAGAATCTTGTTAAGGTATCTAGAATGAAATGCAGATACTTCAGTATGACAGGGAGGTTTCTCCAAGAATTTTAGCAGCTGCCGTATATTTTTTGTATTGTTTGGAAGTTCACTTCTTAATTTAAAATTTGCATTCTTTATTAGCATTGTTTGTGATTGTTTTTTAACTTTTTATAACAATTAGTAGTTAGATGTTTGATAAAAGTGTGGTTTATTTCACTTTAGTTATCATTTACTTACGGTCAAAAAGTGTTTTCAGGGAGTTTCGTATTCAAATAATGTCTGTGTTTCATGATGAAGTTGAAATTGAAGATTTTGAGTATGACGAAGCAGCTGAATTATATTTCTATCCATGTCCATGTGGTGACCGATTTGAAATCACAAAGTCAGTTTAAGAAACAAACAAACAGTACTTCAACATACATGTTGTATTTTTTGTTCTTTTTTGTTCCCTTTTTTTCTTAAAATTAGCCGTTCTTTATAATAATATGAGAATCATATATGTAGTAATGAAGTTAAATTAGTTCGAGAGTTCTTTGTGGGATTTAAGATATCTAGTCATTCTCAAAGTTGAATGAAGTAGTGTAATAATTTGTGCATTTCTAAAATACTACAAGAATTTCAAGTTTTTTTCAGTTCACTTCATGAAGTTATTCATGTAGAATAATAAAATAGTTAATAAAATACTTTAGAAGTTTTTTTGAAAGAACCAAAATCTTCGACCGAAAATTACTGTCTTATTTATTGTTTTTAATTGTTTACTTTCATTTTTCTGCAGGGAGATGCTAGAGGCTGGTGAAGACGTTGCTACATGTCCCAGTTGCTCTTTGATTATTCGGGTAATCTATGATCCTGATTGTTTCATCAATTTGGAAGACGTATCGTTTCCTGTCAAGGAAAAGCATCAATTCACAACTGTATAAGATTTGAAGAAAATATTTTTGTAAAAGATTTAATACGAACTACTGGAATTGAGATATAAAATTGAATATAGCGGTTTTGTCCCTTAGTTCAGGTACTGAATTATTCTGGTTTTTTCCGTCTCTCTATTGATAATTACATGAAGCAGTTTAGTTCTAGTGCTGGTTATTTCGAATTATATTTGCCGATTTACTAAAACTTCATCTTTTGAATTCCTTGTTAATAATTTTTGTGTTATAGTGATAAATTTAGACAAATTTGTGTATTAAAGATGTAGTAATTCCTATTTATTTAAAGTTTTTTCGGTATTGCTCTTACATAAAGAATAATTTGAAGTTACGTCCTTAAAAAACTTTGCAATGTAAAATACTTGCCTATCCACTCTGGTAGAGGAATAATTTTATCGCTCTTGATTACTTGGCAGGACTCGGATTTATTTCATTTTTATAACTTTTGTGGATTGTTGTTATGACTTTCAGTTATGTTTATCTTCGGAACAAATATTGCAAGCTTTTGGTATTTAAGTATAAACAAACTTCTTACGCCGATTTATTCATTAAATTTAAATTGATGTTTTCTGCATATTTTCTTAAATAGTTGGACATCTTTTTGACTATAATAGTATTTTTTTTCTTTAGGCAGTAAGTCATTACAATCATTTAAAATAAATAGTGCAAAATTGTGGCGTTAGTGTGAATTGCAACGAATTCCAGAATTTTTGGTTTTCATGACGGACTTTCTATTTTTGAAACCTTTATTTTTCCGAAATGAAATTTATCCCGTACTTGATGCAATGTACTTTCGAATTCTCAATTAAATAAAATAAGTGAATGTTTTTAAATGATTTTTTTCCATATTTGGAGTTGTATTCTGGTGTTTAGAAATTTTTAGGAAATAAATTTTGGTTATTACGGATATCCGAAACTTGAATTGATAATAGTGTTGAGGTGAGAGTAAAAGCATACATGTGGGGCTTTGTTGTCTTTTGTGTTTTCCTGAAACAAAAGAAAAGTTATGTAGTGGAGTTGCTGGAAGATATCAGAACGTTTTTGAAAATAGATATTCAGTGACTTATGTGTTGATTAGCTAGTAGTTTTTCATTTTTTCATCCTAAAATTATTTGATTATGAATATAGACCACTCCTAATTTGAAGCATTTTAACTCTCTATCTTACTTTGCGTACTGTAAAAGTGAACTTGAACTTGGGTGAAACTTGATTTATTTTTTCACAACAAATACTTCAACTTGAACAGATTGCGATTTGTAGTTTATTTTTCAATGTAAGTTTACGTGTAGAAAGTTTTAACCATTATTTTATTTGTTAAGCACAGATGTTAGCCTGTGTTCTTCATGTTGTTCAGTATTATTCTGTTTTGATGAGTCAAGTTAAGAAAATTTTCAAGGGATTGAAATATAGCATCGCGCAGTTTCACTCGAAAAGGTACGACTTTTAAATATATTCACAAATTATGATTACTTATTGCATAGGGTGATCTGTCTAAAGTTATTAACGATATTTTTGTTGTGCGGATTTCACTTTTCTACTGTTGAAAGACTGACAAATGATTTCTTTAACCTGCAGAATTAAAAGTCAGCTTGTTTAAATTTTACTCTCTGATTCGTAGTCATTTTTCAAATATATATAGTGAGATTATTTGTGTTAGAAGAATTTACTAATAGATATGATTCAAAGAAATCCAGTCTTTAAAATAAACCATAAAGGATAGAAAGAGTGGGAAATGCGCTCTTATTTGAATGCAAATTATTCACTTGTTCACTTGTGCATGCATTTTGGTTACTTTAACGTCCAATGCAAATATTTTTTCAAATTCACGTTACTACACATATTGTAATGAAAGTAATAGAAGTGGAGTTAATTTTCAAATTTTTCGTAAATCTGGCTAATTTAAATTTGTTTCTACTAACATCACAACAAGATTAGGTAAGAGTTTATTCAGACTAAACTTTCCATTATGTCATTATCAAAGTATTTGTTTTTGATGAGGATATAAGACAGTTTGCTTTTATTATTTGAAATACATTCTAGAACTATTCATAATTGTTTACTGACAAGTAATTGCAATATGCTATATCCATTCTCAGTCGTGCAAACAAATATGTTATCCTGCATTAACTCTTCTGCAATTAAAGTTAAAATAATTTTGAATTTTTGTTTGTTTGTTAGTTTTCACTTTTTTTTAAAATTTTAATCAAATACCTTTGAACAAGAAAGTGGCATAGTTGTATATATTTTAGTGGCATGAAAGCGGTTGCATACCAGTTTTTGCTGATCTAATTATATTTTCTCCAGCAATGTGTGTATTATTTTTTTGTCTAATGCATCATTTAATAAACAGGAAGACTAACCGTTTATGCAAATACAACAGACATTCATTTATATCTTACATAAATGAAATTTAGTCATTTTCATACCGTCTGAGTAATCATTGTAAAAGTTTCGACAGTTGTAAAATTTCAACTTTGCAACTAAATGCAAAAAAAAGGAGAGTTCACATTTTGTTTGCATATTTCAATTCAATCTTTTTTGACAATGTTCAGATATAATGTTTGATGACCTAACAGTTAAATTTTTATTCGTAATAAGTTTAAGAATTTTAATCCAAATATGATTATCAATATTGTTTCTATGGAAGAGATCGTTCAAATCATGCAGCAGATGTACTGAGGAATTCATATCGACTTGTTCATGAAAACAATTTACATAATAAAACAAGTTACATAAACAGGCATTGAATAAATTCAGTGATCACTTTGTACAATTTGTGAACTATTTTTAAAATTTAAATAGTTTCTACCGAAACAGAAAACAGTTATTCGAAATTTTTCGTTACTGAAAGGACTAAACTTCTTTGGGAAATTTTAATAAGTAAAACGGTTAATGAACTGAATATATTCATTGTAATTATCTCAATCAGATTTGTTACTAATCTACATTTGGTTAAGTCTGCGAATTTCAAATAATATACAACATCAAGGATGTTCATTATGATTCCGTCAATTAATCGGTGACGTTAAAGAATGGTAAATAGTGATGGTTCCAACTACTGCATTATTATCATTCATTAACTGCTTGCTTGTAATCTGGAATTTTTTTTATTTAGGAAAGTTTAAAAGAATGCTATCCGAAGCAAAAGCTTAATATAAATAATAAAGTTAAAAATTATATTTGGAATAGAGTTGCGAAGATTAATCAAAATGAAAACTCTAAAAAGCTGAAAATTTGGAAGTCAATTTTTCTGAGATATATTTTCAAAGAGGAGTTTCATTTAAAAGCCTAAAAACAAAGCAAACTTTCTATTAACTATCATTTGAAATATAAATATTGAATTAAAATTAAGTACTAACTTAATACAATCACAAAAGTAATCCAGTGAAAAAATAAATGCATTTTTAATACAGATTTGATGAAAAATCATTATGCAGTGTAATTAATTGCTAATAATTAGAAGCCTAGATTTGCTTACTTTTATTTAAAATTTCAAGGTGGTTTTAGTGAAATTAAAACTATTGTACAATTTAGCTTCTTTTCGAAGGAAAGTTTAACTTTACACGTTGAAAATCATAATAGCATTTTAAATTACGTTTAGTGTGAAAACGTTTAACACGAAAAATTTGATGTTAAAATAACTAGTTTCTGTCTAATTTGTTTAGGCCATTACTTCATTACTTAATATGATTTTTAAAGTGTTAGTCGAAGCATACCGAAAAATCTTATCTATCTTACTATTAATTACTTATGTTAAAATTTAAAGTGATGTCCAAAGTAAGTCACTGAGTTAGTGAAAATAAATTTCGTGAAATATAATGGATCTAATTGGATGAAGAAATTGTAAAAAAGAATACTTCTATGTTCAAAAAGTTAATTGCATTGTTTTATCAAGGACTTTGCATTATCACAGTAATATCAGAAAGTTAATGCATAGAAATTGATTGTAAAGAATATTATCAAGAAAACTCAAACTAAAAAATGTAGAAGCCAAAAAGAATAGTTTATGGAAGCTTGTGGGGAATGATAGTTCACAATTATATGGGAATAAGGATTTTTAATTCAAATTATAAGCATATTATCTTTGTGTGTATTACTGTCGTTATTTTACTTACATTTTCTGGCGTAAAATCAAAGTATTACAAATAAATTCATTTTATGCTTAAAATAATAATATAGTAAGCATTGATGTTCGTACAAAATACAAAATGTTTTGCATAGTTTATCATAAGATTTAGATTGAAATTTTGAATTTGGAATTTTGAACTTATTGCATTGGTAATACCTCTGTGTTTTTTTTCTATGAATATGCATAAAATATTCATTTTTCAAACTTTGATTACTTGAAATGAAGTAATTAATTTGAAGAATGAATAGTTCTTTTTATAAATAGTCTTAGTTTTTTTTTCTTTTTATATTTTGATATATTCATGGAAAAGTTGAAGATAACTAATTATTATACAGAGAGGTGCATTAAAGGAAACATTGTGAGTGGTAAAAATACGAGGAATTTTTTAGTAAAAAGAGGGGAACAGAGGAGGGATATGGGGTTACAACGAGATATCACGCAAGAAATATTGAAAAGAACGAAGAAGTGAAACCCGTTCTTGGTAGCCTTCTTTGCATTCATATATTTTATTTTTTTGCTGGTTATCTTTTCTTGTATCACATCAAGAAACTTTTACCAGTGAATAGCATCATCCTCAAATCAAATCATTAACTCTCATCTACAACTACAATATATATGGCTAGTCATCATCTTCTTGCATTGGTAATCTATAATATCCATTTATTTGCTAATATTTTTTTTAATTATTAGATTTTTAATATTATAATAAATATTTGATTTTAATATAATAACGAACTTTTTTTGTTATAGTTTTATAATGATAAGCATCGATTAAATGCTTATTCTAGCTCAATTCGTTCACTTTAATTTGTTTCACTTCTTCATGCTTATGAATGAAATTAGACTTTCATTAAAGCAAGACAGATACAAGTGCTAGTTACTCTCAGTTACAAGTTGAAGCAAAATTTAATTTAAATAGAAAATTGCTTTATAAATTCTATTTGGAACTACGAATTTATATTTCTCGAAGAGACATGATTATTTTTATTGTTAGTTTATTTTTATATTCCACTGAATTTCATTTACTAATCTTACAATAATAAGATTAACCAATTTCATTACGATAAAAAATTTTTGTAACACAATCATTTTGAATGACTTTTGCACATAATAAACACTTGCATTCCGATCACATGGTAAAATTAATTAACCCGTTATTATATATTAAATTTTAAAAAATTTGTTGTTTATTTTTGTAATTCTATTTTTTACACTTTAAACACTTTTATTTTAAAAATATTCATGAAAATCATTTTTTGGTATTTCAGTTGTTTCATAAATTTTTTTTGTCAGCTTTCTTCATCTAAATTTATTTTACATAATTTCAGGCATTGTAAATTTTATAATTGTCTAAGTGCTAATGAATTTAGTGCAATCTAATAAAATTTTTTAGCCATATCAGTATTCGTGAAAAAAAGCCAAATTTTTGAGTATAAACAACTCATTTTAGTTTATTGTTTTGTTTTGTTCATTGTGATTGTAGAAAAAATTTGAAATAATGAATAGGAAAATCGAGAATAATCAACAAGTGCTTTGAACTGGTTTCTAGTAAAACATGTAAAGAAAACTATTAACCAGTTTCTGTCTTCAAAATAAAGTTCATTTGTGCTTATCATCTATTTGAGAATTATTCAACTTTTACCATTTTTAAAATAAACAAAAAAAAGTTATTTTTGTAAAAAAATTTTGCAAAACTGCCAAAAATTCATTTTGATATTCAAAAAATTTTTAATTTAAAAAAACAGTATTTGCAGACAAAATTGCTATTTAAAAGGGTCAAGTTCATAAGCAAACCTTCAAGTGTATGATGTGATTAATTAGAGTAAGAAGAATAAGAATGAAATATTCATGATTTAGAAAATGTTGAGCATCAAAAATGTTTTTGACATATTTGTTAATGTCTGTTAAATAAAGAAATTTTCAACTGACAAATTAAATTTGTCACAATTTTTTTAATTTGCATTAAAATGAATAAACTTAAATAACCAATATTAAATCCGTATATGATTTTTGATACTTGACTTTCTGCTTTGCTATTTTTTCAATTTAGAAAGATATCTTCACATCTTGTTCTTAAATTTAATAGTTTTCAATTATTGTTAGTATTTTTGCATTCATAAAGATTTAAAGTTTTTGTTATCATTTTGTGAATGAGAACAATTTCACTTTTTCCTTAACTATTCAATATGTTATTAACAGTAACATTGCATTTATGTGTACATAAAATTTAAATTTAATATTTTCACTTACATACAAAGCTGCTGCTATCAACGTTCAATTTATTTTTTTCTCAATAGTCATTAATTCAAAATAAAAGATAACAAATATTAATTAAAATTCTTCATGGTTTGACAGCAAGTAATTTCTGAATACCATGCAAAAAAGTAAATGCATTCCTTCAATTCTTTCTAGAAAAAAGCGCAAATTTTCTTGCTCATTTCTACTTTATTCAATCAAAACGGTCATTTCTTCATGCAAAAAAATCAAATAAAGAACCTTATGACAGCTTCTATGTTGCAAATATTGTTTGGACATAATTCATCATTGATAATAATATAAAAAATCGTATATTTTAAATTACTATTTATAAAAACTGGATAAGATAGCTTAGAGGATATTGTGAGCTAAGATAGTCTATAAATATAATAAAGTAATTAATTTACTTTGTTTTGAAGTAGAAAGAAAAAGGAATCAATAGTAAAAATGTGAGTGTTAGAAAACGAACAAATATTGTGAGTTGGAGTATAATATTGACTTTGGGATTCTGATTTTTAAATAAATTTGATCTTATATTAATTTACTAATGATCTTCAATAGTTTGTACACCTATTCATGACTTTTTCTTCACTTGCAAAGACTAAAATCTACGTTCTAACATTGATATTTTTTGCAATTTCTTTGCTTAATTAAAAGTAATTTTGGCTAATTTTTCGAAGTGAAATTCGACAAATGATAATTGCTTTTCCCAAAGGTAACAATTACTAATCGTTTTTATGATTTATTTGGCTACTTCGATTTCCATTTACTTAACAAATGTTGAGTAGCTGCTGATTTTCAAAGATTCAAGCATACAATTAAGAATGATAACATTTAAGGTTTTACTTATCTGTGATTACATTTATCTAAATTTTTAAAATTAGTTTTAAAAAACAATAAAAGTTCAATTTCATCTATTTAATTTGTTACTTCAAATTTTATATTTTTAATTACTACTTATACATCATGTATAGTGAATGAAACAGTGATTCTAGACGTCGGGATTAATATCGCTCATATATGTGAAAACTCAGACTCCAATTTTCCCAGTTAGTTGCTATCTCAATGCTTTGATCATATTGGATCGCTCAGATTCTGTAAAGGGTGGATTTGATAGAAGCATAAATTTTGTCGTAAATATTTCTGATGAACTTAATATTGGACCCGATGCTCATCGAGTTAGTTCCGATCTTCTTACGTAATTTTTCTTGAAGCTTTTGATTAGTTTTGATTCAATATTTTGAAACATGAATAACATATAAACTATTTAGTTTTTTTCTTTCTCAAGAATTGCATATCATTTAAACTTTTTTTAAAGTTTAGGTAGCCATGATTGTATATTCCGGACTCACTTATCGTCGTCAAGTTTTCGATTGGAATTTTGCTAAAAACAATAGAGAGTTCAAAAAAATCGTGCTTGGTTTACGAGCCATTGGTGGTACAACAAATACAAAGTCAGCCACTGCCTTATTTTTTTCTTCACTAACATTTGAATAATAATTTTCGCTTGAAATTAAACTTATTTTTAAATAATGAAAGCAAAAATTGCTCTACCTTGTAGCAATTTGCAATAATTTTTATATGCGCTGTTTAAAAATAAGTTTAAAATGATTCACCATGAAATGAAGAGGCAATATGACTTTTTATTGCAGTTTTATTATTTGCAATAAAAAGTTAAAATGTCAAGTTTAAAATGGGATAAATTTTTTTTGGCGCGGTAATCTCAATTGCTATATCGAAGTTTATCTGTGAATTATTTTGATACCATTTAAAAAATATTAGAAATTAAGTAATAATTGATTGCATATCGCAGATCAATGATCATTTTATGCTAATTTCATGTTTGCTTGGGTTGAATAGATTTAAAAAGCTTTAGAAAAGATAAAAAGTGTATGCATTGTTTGTTTCTAGGAAAGCATTAGAAATAGGACTTGAATTGATGCAATCACGCAACAAATCAATTCCATCACTGATTATGGTTGTTACGGATGGCCGTAGTGCAGATGATCCAAAAGTTCCAGCTGAAGCATTACGACGGATTCCAAATACATGGGTTTTTGCTGCTGCGACTGGAAATCCTGAAGCCGTTAATAAGTATGATTTATTTGTCTAAAAACTCTTCTTTCTTAGACGGTACTGTGTATTGCATGTAGACAAAAAATAATAATTCTGATTTTCAAAACTGTTACAACTTTATTGATGTACTAAATATCACACAGGCCATAAGCCATATGTTAACAGAATATCATGGATAAATAAATGCTTACGTCATCTGCAAAATGAGTACAAATAAAATAAAATGAATTTTCAATAAATTAACCATACCTTAAAAATACAATCTTTATCTTACGGTAGCTTTTGATAAAATATGAAGTATCGTAATTGTCTTCAAGACATGAAGTGATTTCTGAATAAATAATCTAATTATAGAACTTTTTCTTTCTATTTTTAATTGCTTTCAATTAGCACTAATTTTTGCTCCACTTTTTCTTGCTATTCTTCATTGGTTTGGTTTTTGTGTGGAATAACATTTTTTAAAATTACTTTCCTAAAATATCTTAGTACACTTTACGATTGCAATTACTATTTGATAATTGTGTAATGAAAAACTGTGCTTTTGTAAATCGTTAATCGCAAGAAATTTGAGTAATAATTGGTGTAAAAGTGAAGAAAAACAGATTGTATTTCAGTAACACATTAAAGTCTTTGTCGAGTAATCATATTTAGTATTATTCAAAAATTCTTCCATTGCGCTTTGATGTTTATTAAGCAAACATTTTTTTAAAATTATGATTTCAAGTACTGATAAATATGTTTTTTCACGATTTATTCAAAAGCTTGGTTGCAATTGTTGTTAAATCAAAAAATTTGCTTTTAACTCATTTCATGATTAAAAATAGTTTACAAATAAATTTGTATGATAAAATCCTTGCGATTTTTTAACTAATAACAATAAAATACACAGTTACTAATAATTATTTTGATGTTATTTTATGATTCATAAACCTAAGAGTGAAATATGTTTCAGAAATGAATTACTTGCTATAACTGGAGATGTAGATCGAGTAATTTTACAAAGCGGTCGTGAATTAGCAGCTGATATTACACGTAAATTACTGCGTAAAGCACAGGAGCAATGCTTTACCACAACAACTACAACAACCACAACGACAACTACCACAACACTGACAACAACCACAACAAATCCTATTTCAGGTATTTTATTATTTTTTTCAAATGACAAGTAATAAACAGTTAATTGTCAATGAATGAGTACGATTCATTCAGTAATAAAAAACGATGTAAAGCAGACAGAAATGTAAATTATTACAAGATCAAGAACTTTCAAGAATGAAGTCTAATCAATATGATGGCATAATAATATGACCTACTATCAATATTATTTTTAAAATAATATTCAATTCATTGAGCACAATTCTGTGATAATTCTGACAACTGCAATTTTACAAAGTGCAATTGTCAGAATTAATTTTGAGAATAATGAAGTTGAAATTATTATTTTTAATCAAAAAACACATAATAATTTATTTTATTTTAACATTATTAACATGACACTTCTGAAATGTAACTGCACATTAAATATGAAATTTTCAGGTTGTGAACAAGATGTGGTACTTGTGATGGATTTGTCATCAACAACTAAACCAATTTATCGTAACTATTTAATGATGGCAGAGGAACTTGTTAATAAACTTCTTGTCGGTCAACGATTTAGTCGAGTAGCACTGATAACATTCAGCTCAGTTGGTAAAACAAGAACACAGTTCAACTTAAACAGGTCAAAATTTATATCATATTAACACAATGATATTTTCAAGGTTTCAAGAAATCATTAAGCTTTAGAATGAAAAGTATTTATTTGCTCATGAATGCTATTGAAATTACCATATTAGCAGGCTGAAGTTGTATATTAAAATCTGATTTTTGAGTTCAACACTCATTTGTTAACAGAATTTAGAAAAATACTTTCAAGTCAATATTTGTCTCAAAAAATTTTTCGCTAACAAAGCTACCAGTTAATAAAATATTCCTAATATGTAGATTTAATATTTTTTGTAAAATAGTAGCATAAATTTACTAGCGATGAGTTTTTAAAATTTGTATTAGAAGTAATCTAAAAAATATTAGACTAGTTAGAAAACAATGAAAATCAATCTGAAAAAAGTCGTCATATTAAAAACTTACCAGAAAACATTCAAATTTTTGAGATATAATTATAATTCATGCACTCAAAGATTGAATACCTATAAAATTTGCTAAAATTTATGTAACTGAAAAATTTATCGTAACATAAAATTCACCAGTTTGTTGTAATCCATCATTACTTCATGAATTTTAGATATTTCGATGCAAATCAAATTATAAATGTGATTAGAAAATTAGAATCATCCGGTGGTACTACAGCTGTTGGTTTGTTTTAACTTTTATAAAATGATTTCTATCTCTAAATGCATCACTTTCTTTCTATATCGTATGGTATTAATTGGAAATGGAAATGTTAATGGAATGAAATTAAAATATTCTATAAGTTTCCAAGTTTTAGTTGCATTTGACATTGCATTTTCTTTCAATTGTATCGTTTTAAAATTTAAAACTTTAATAAATTTTCTGTGGATAAAAGAACTTTAAAAAAGTTATTAGAGATTTTTGATGCCATGTCATAGGTGAGGGGATCAGACTAGGATTGAAGCAACAAGATAAACGCCATGGTGGCCGACCAATAAATATTGCAAAAAAAGTAATGTTAATATTTACGGATGGATGGAATAATAAAGGACCGAATGTGGAGGAAATGAAGCAGAATGCTAAGGGAGCCGGATTTGTTCTTTATACAATTGTTTATGAGGTTACTGTTATACGTTTTCTACATTTTCATTTGAACTTTTTGTGCATAAACATATCAAAAAATTAAAATAATGAGTTTATTTTTAATACAATAGTAAATACAATATGTATAAAAAAGAAATATGTAGTAATGATAAGTAATATTTTTTATTATTGTACATCACAGTAAATTATCGAAAAATTTTAATGCACAATGCCAGCAGATAAACATTTATGAAAATTCATGCTGCAAATACTATAAAATTGGATTACGAGTACAAATTATTTTGTAGGGTGATGGGAGAATTGATGAAAATAATCCAGGACTCAATCTTTATACCATTGAAACCGTAGCAGATAATCTAAAACATGTTTATAGTGAGCATAATTTCACACAACTTGTTAAGGAACTTCGCCGACGCAATTTGCCATGTATGTAGTGACTGCTTTCTAATTTTTTTATTTACTTATAACATTTCATCTATATTTGTTATCAATATCAAATACCGTAATATTCAACTTCATGTTATGCAGAGCTAGTTAATAACTTTCAAATTTCATATTTGAATATTACAATATTCATTACCATAAGATTTCACTTCATCGTAATCTTCAAACTTATTTCTAGCATGTTTAATGCAAGATTTAAAAAAATCTCAGAATTTAGAAATTGCAAATTTCAAAAAATGAAGAATTGCTCAGATTCGTTGAATTCATTATGCCTGAATGCTTCTAAAGGTAAACAATTAATTAAGTTTTGAGAATGCTACTTCATATCACGTAATTACGAATCTAGTCGACTAGACTTCTTGTCATGAAAATTTAATTTTGGCGACATAATTTCTGTTTATAGTCACTAACTATTGTGGTAAGTGAATATCACTTTACTGCCTACTAAGTGCTGACATATTCAAATATTGTTATACACATCCGAGAAACTCACAAATCCAACGATTTTTAGTAGCATAAACCATTCACTTTGCCAGTGATAAACAGTTTTGTACAGCTCTCTCATAAATAAGATTTGAGCTAAACTGAATCAAAGAAAAACCTTGAAGTTTCGTAATCCTAAAGGATCTTTATATCAATAACGGGTTATTGCATGTAAATAGATTGCCACTAGATGGACTCCAGATTTATCCTGTCAATTAACATAACAGTATATAGACCACAGATTGAATTATCAACACTCAGTTTTGCTCGTAGCAACAAGAGTCACATAGAATTAAGATCCATACTTATTTACGTGAATACTAATTACTAGAAAAACATTACATCCATCGATTCCACTGATGGCACTTCTGCTTTTCTCAGATACCAATGCAATAAATGTTAGCTCTGTAAATTTGTCCTGAATAATCACATAATTTATTACATAAAAATCATTAAACGAAACTAAACATGATGGCAACTTCTCACGAACTGATCTTTTCATAAGTAATTGAAATCAAGTCAAACTATATAATTTATTTCTTTTTCCTTCTTAAAGCAATTCGGAAATCGCAAGAAACCAAGACAACACTAAAATGCATTATTTTGCTATTGCAGTTTAATGGAAATAATAGTGCCGAAAGAGGCAATAAAATTAATCCCATAACTACACCTAACCCGAAATGAGGCAAAATAAAGCATAGACGAACAAGTCTAGTGCTGTCGCACAGAGCCCAAAAAGCAGATAACAGATTCCGCCTAATCAATTCATAACGACATAAGTGGATGACGAATGAAACAACAAAAATTATGGAAAAAAGTACAAAGCACTGACTGACGTAAACATTTCAGAACATCAACATTATGCGGCAATATATTGAAAGAATTATAAATAAAAGACAAAGGCGAGAGTTCACAAATCACGGAGAAAATTCAACTTGGCAGCACATTTGCTTTTGAGAGGGCAGGTGTTATTGCCTGAGTTCAGTCCCGCTTTGTTATACATAAATATTCATATTCAATGTAGTTGCTCATCTGATATACTCAAAATATCGGCTCACCAGAATAATTGGCATTCTTTCATATTTTTAAAATGAGTACGCGTTAGCAATGAGTCCATCTGGAAACAATAACCATACCATTTACGAGACGGACTCATCACAGATATGAATAAAATTAGGCCGTCATGTTTACAAAAAGCTTTCATAATTTAAATCTGCGCCACCAGGTAACCCATAGACATCACTAGCAACCTAATCAAACAGTAAAATGGCACTAGTTGTTAATAACATTTGAGGCTGAACTCAGGTTAAATGAAACTTGATAAAGAACTGTGTGCAGTCAGTACATGTGTGGTGTTAAACAGACGATGGATTTGCATTTGAAAAATTCTCATACACAAGTATTTGCTTTGATAATGGTAAGTAATGATAATCTCTCCCTTCCCAGACCCTAAAAGCAAAACAACAAGCCTTTCAAAACAAACATACAAAAACAAAGAGCATGCAATAATATCTAAAAGCGAAAAACAAATAGCCCTTAGCACTTTCTTTTAGATCATAACCAGGCCTGAAAGCACGTAATTTTATGTGCAACTGAACTCATTAATCACAATCTGCAAAATGAAAATGCGAGATCTGCCCCTAAAAATCGAAAAGCAATAAAAGTATTTGGTGATGGGTAGGTCTTACCATAATTAATTTCAGCACGCTGAAAATGCATCTGGCCCTTATCCTCACAAAAGATAACAAGCAAATACAAACAAACATTCACTATCTAAAGACAGCTAAAAACGACAGTATGATACTGCACAAACTGAAAGAAATACATTTTAGCAGCAACGTTACCAATAAGCAATAAAAAAGATATGATAAAAACAACAAAAGCTTTATATAAGATGATGAACAGTATAACAATCTAAGGACAAAATTTGAGAAGAGGCAAACAACACGTAATGAACAAAGAAGTTTCGTTTCTTGAGCGTTTTTCAAATGTTCTAAAGCAAATTACAAAAGAGTAAAACAAAAGGCCTTTTCTCACTTTCAAGTTATGAGAGCAACTTCGCTAGGCGCAGTCTACTCAGTACATCGTTCTTATCTTTTCTTTTTTCCAACTAATAGAGGATCTAAGAATGCAAGTGACTCACAAATTTTTGTCTAAAATTTACAGCAAGAACTATGCTATAGAACAGCTTACTGACTCCATCAATGGTTTCAAAATGATCGACTTCAACTAAATATTCATACCAAAGATTGGAATTGATATTGACGTAATTGACAGTATTAACATAATATGTTGATAAAGGTAAAGGGAAAGTGAGTCCAGAGCAATAATTGCGTGCAATTGTACTGACTGCACAGTTCACAATCAGAAGAACAAATAGTAAGTACTACGAGGAATATTTAAAGCACAAAAAATCGAAAAAAATTGGTTCAAGACTTAAAGAACGTTGTTCTTATAGCACATAGCTCTTTAAAGCAAAACTTGTAAGTATTAATTGAACTTCAAGGATGAAAAGGGAGGAAAAAACGCTGGAATGTTCAGGCATATAAATATATTTTACAAATGAACCAAAATTATGAAAGGTTCCAACTTTTAAAAGAAAACTCAAAAAGGACTATCATATGCAATATTTTGAAGCATGCAAAAAACCCCAACCATAATTTGATATTGGACAAAGAAGATACTATTTCAACCTCTAAACGAAACAATAATATAAGAATATCAAACTCTTCACCAGCTTCATTTCTGGCAATGTCAAACTTCACATACTGTTATAAAAGAGATCAAATGTTGTACAAAACTGGGAGCACAAATTACTACTTCCCGTGAAGGTGATATAAAAAAGAACAACTGTTTGTAAATATAACACCCGCGACTCTACGTTAACGCACACAAATTTTCATGAGAAAGCCTCAGGACGTCCGCTTAAGTCTGGCATTGCTAAGAATATTCTCACACATCCAAGTAGCCAAATATGCATATATTTCTTTACTGCTTCATGAAACGATGATTTTTTGCACTGACAGCACCGCAAACAGCAAAAATGTGAACAATCATTACTATTTACTCCTTAATCGACTTCAATAGTAGATTTCGAAGTGAAGACAATCAGAAAAACAAATCTGAAAACATATATCCACAGCCACATCCAAAAAGCTTTCTCATATTCACCGGCTAGCTTAATAGTATGATCCTGTTATTAACTGGGAAACAGAGATTAATCAAACAAATGTCGAAGCCGAATCCCTACCAGGTTTGTCGTTTGCAGTACTAACCAGCGTTTTATTCGGTACATACTGTCCTGCAAAAGATACATGTCTCGGCAAAGTGAAAAATCAAGGCTATAAGAAAGATAAAATCTAAAATGCTTTCAAACTCAAAAATTATAATCAATAACAATAAACCCACCGATAAAAGAACCATCTTCCGTAAAGCGTCCAGGATCTGTATCGCCATATTCCGCCATTGAATCAGTTTCGGACTCCATTTTACTTCCTGTTAGTGACCGCTTCTCATCATCTTCTCTAAAAAAATTTACGTCAGCCAAATTTCCAACTTATTATTTTACAGTTTTATATTTTCTTAAACAAAATTTGTCTTTCGCAACGGATTTTGGACTGCTGCTGCTGATTATTTTATGGATACAAATAAAATTTTTTCACAATGTAATGATTGGTAGCACGATAATTATTATTTCAATAACTTTCAGCCTAAGTTATTAATTTTTCTTTTTTTAAAACATACGGCTTGATGTATTCACCAAATCCTTTATCTTTGGCACCAGGTAATATTGGCATTCTGCCTTGTTGCCTTTCCTTCTCTGAGACTGGATACTTTGCGCCACGTTGTCGGGCTGCCACGCAAACAATACAGAGAATAATAAGCAAAAGGAGTATCACCAATAAGATAATGATTAACCACCAAAGCCGAGCACTTTGTGGTGCTGAAAAAATCTCCCCATTACTAAACTTATCGCAAAAAAAAACTGAAACAGAACCAAATTTATGAAAACTAAGAGCTTGTACATAGCAAGAAACAACTTTTATATCTTAAAACACTTTAATCCCATTTTGCAAAGAATCTTCAAAATTTAGATCGCATAAAACTTCATTTAAAATAATCAAATTTAAGGATATTTGCAATTCTCAGCAATCACCGAACTTAATTTTATTAAAAAAACTGAATACAAAACCAACCACTTCCAGTAGTACTTATATGGGCGACAGATGACTCCGTTTCACGAACATTTCCAGAAAGATCATACTGCTTCGAAACTACGACTACTTCATATTTCGTTCCAGGATCCAAATCACTGATGTGTACAAAAAATCCATCGTCTGCAAACTTTCGGAACCATCTTTTCAAATATATTATCCGTATGAAATATTAAATTGAGAATTATTCATTTCACTATTCACGGAAATTCGAAATGATTTTGCTACAAAAAGGTTCAATTTAAAATAGATTACGCCAATTTGTTCCTATTTCCTTTTCTTTACTTAAATTACATTAGCATTCTTAAATAATCGTGATTCTACAAGTTTGTTAACTGCTGATGTAAGCGTAATATTAAATATCAATAAATACAAATGTAAATAAATCCCTGGAAATGTAGCAACATCAAAACATATATGTTGACATTTCAGATATCTATTATAAAATCATTATTATGAAAATTGATTATTTACAATATCTGGTACCAAGTATTGGATAATTTATAGCACCATTTTTCAGTATAACTCAATGAGCAGTTCAGTAAATCAAGCAAAAAAAAAAATTGAATAATTTATTTGAATCTTATTGAGATCTATTTTGCAGAAAAAGAAAATAATACTAACCTATCGGTTCTACAGTTTCCCATCCATCTTCACCAGCTTTTCTATATTTAACATACATATCGCTACCAACTGGTCGGCCTTCACTTTTGTTAAATTCGCCCGGTGTGAGTGTCACATTGATAAAATTATCACCAACACCACTTTCTTCTACATGCGGTTGCTCCGGTTCTACTGAAATAGAAAGTACATGAATTTATTATAGAGACAGAAATTCTTAATCTTAATTTTACAACTTGAAAAATTTAGCACAACATTTGCAATACTAAATTCTCGTATTGATGTTTATACTAGAGCAACAACAGAAAAATGAGATATTTAAGAAAATTTAATGTTAAAACCTGAGAATAAAGAATAAAAATTTTTAATAAAATTGCATCTGAAATAAAAGATATTAAAAGTATCAAATTCAAGTCCATCTATTACGTTTAAATTGTGCTGCCATAAATTATAAAATATATGCGCATATATATTTGGTAAAGTGGAATACCAGTAGAATTTTGCAACCATACACACCATGGTTGCATGAGTAAGACCATCAAAGCAATAAGGAAGGCAGCCATTATTAATTAGTAATTTTTGTTCAAAGACTGGCTAGGTCGAAAAATAAAATGTGCTCGATCACTGGATTGCTTTTTCTAAATGGTATTCTTGCTATATTCGTTATTCGCAACAAAGAGTTTAGACACGTCGGCATGCAATATGAAATCTAGATTGTGGCAGTCAAAAGTAATATGTATATATATTATCGAGAGGTTATGAATAAAATGAAATATGAACAGACTGATCTGATTTTTTTTATTATTTACGATCTGCTTACGCAATGACACGGAAGCTGAGCAAAAAGTCGAAATGTAAAATTCCACGAGCAGAATCAGAAGAGGAGAGGGACTAAATACAATTATGAAACCAATGGAAAAGTGTAATATTTATCTCAAAAAGGAATCATAAATAAACTTCATATATATATATATATATATATATATATAT